CAAACACTTAGCAATATTCTGACAGTTTATTGCAGTGGCAGCTATTCAAAGAATTGCAAGAATGAGCATTAGAATGTTCTAAGTGCATAACGCTTTTACACCTTGACAAAAAACAAACAACCAAATGTTGTTCTTCACGCAAGCCCAAAAATAATCGTCACAAAATCTGATCGTCGACTAAAAATCGTACCAAATCGTCTTTATATGGCGAAATCAAAAATAAAACAACAAGAAGAAATTGCAATAAAAGATAAAAAGATTAAGCGAATTGACATTAAATGGAAGAGCCCAACATCCAAAACACCTATTAGATTTCATAAAAAAACAACTAAACTGATTTCACGTTTTTTTAACAGAAGAAGAGGAACGTCTATCACTGATCCAAAAGCAGCCTAAAAAATTATGAATTAATAAGCCTTATGAATTATCTAGAACATTTTGCTCGGCAATTTGGCCAAAATTGAGTGTTTATGACACACACCAATTTGAATATTTGATGATATTGTGTGGTAAATATGCAAAATGAATACAATTAATGCTAGTAATTCTTTTGAAAAGATGAATAAATAAACATTAAATCCGTAAAGATAAGACTACACTCCTGTCCTTTTATTAGAACTCAATTCAATATTGTTTTCGAACTAACATTACATATACACTAGGGTCGCAAAAGTATGAAAACAGTTGGTCAAAATGGTGGCTCATAGTGACCACGGGCCTAAGCCGACCAATTTCAAAATCAGAATTATGAGGCGAAGGGGCTTGGAAACGATAATGCATTCGCCATTTCTTCAACTTTTGGTTTTAAGAAAATTTACTAATCGGTTTGCTGTTTTGAGGGGAAAAATTCAGCAAAACTTTGAAGCACTGCTTCAAAACAATTCTGTAAAAGATTATCTGATTATTCATGAAAGATGACCACGAAGTGTCACTTTATTGACGAAACGTGAACGAAAAATGTTTAAATTCGAAGCAAACTGCTTAAAGCTTCATTTTCATGAAAAAAATTTAACTGAGAAAGTGACGTTAGCAGTGCACTTCAAATTCAAAGTTTCAATACTGACACAAAATGAGTTGCTCTACATTTGATGTTAATGACTTGTTTATCTTAAATTCTGATTTACTCATTATCAAAGCACGTGACAAAAAAAATAAATGTAAAATGTTCGTTTATTATGCTTCTGAAATTAATGAAAAGAATCATCTACAGCCAAAGCACATCATATACAGTCATCTACAGAAAACTATTTTGATCACTAAATGCCAGTTTTTTAAATTGTTCACATGATATCACTTTTGATAACCTAAAGGTTGATATCATGGCCAAAATGAACTTCTCGGTACTAATATTTAAAGTCAGAACAAATGTGCACGTATTAAGTTTCAAGCTTAATTAAATTATCTTGTGCATAGTTAGTTTCGTCTGTACTTTGAGGCAATATTTTATGAATCCTTCGAGAATATTTTCGTTACAAAACGGTCGTTACAAAAACCCTTTAGCGCTCAACTTCTGTTTTAGAAACCTGTCAGCTTAGGCCCGTGGTCATTGTGAACCGCCATTCCTCTTTCTTCTACTATACAAACCCCTCTTGAAAGTACCAAACAGTTCGAAGATCGATTGCGTTTTCAGACAAAAACAAATTTAGGCTGGCAATGACGACTTAAATTTGTGAGAAACCCTTCCAAAATAGACCAGAACATTAAAATGCTGCAAAACTTATGCGCTTTTTATCCGTTATCATTTTTTGAGAAAATGAGAAACATTTGCGCTACAAGCCTTACGCAAATCAAGAAGAGAACAGCAAGTCAGGCAACTTAGACTCAGTTAAACGGGCCAATAAAACGGACTAATTTTTCTACAAACTTTTTCTTGAGACACAGAGAAAACCAACGTGTATACTCTCAGTTGGGAAAAATCTTTGACGAAGATGCCACCGATCGATTACAAAACATATGACATTTGGTAACATTTTACCAGATCATAAAGTTTCCTGCAATTTAAGGAGAGATTTTAAAAGTTCAATTGGTTGTGAACATTTAATGCAGTTTTGTGTAATGATGCAAACCAGTTTTGATGCAAATTTGGTTAGGGCAAAACGCTCAGACGTTGGTGTCGCGAGAGCTCTTGCTCTTTTTGGCCGTGAAAAATCATTTAGATTCCTTATTTTTCAATTAATTTTGCATATCTCGAAAGCGGCAGTCTTTGGGCATTCAATGATACTGGCAATTTAATGATAGCTTTTTCCCATCATTGTGATAAAGCATTATCTCTAGACATTACTCAGAAGTCAATGCTCTTGTTTGGGTCGCAACCATCTTGAGAAAAAACCCTTAAAAAGTTTGCTTACATTTGGATATAATTATTTTCTTTCGACGAATGAATAGATTAAAGGCCAAAAAAACTTCAAGAAAAAATTCGAGGAGATTGATAGAAACGTTTTCATGAAAACTGACTTTGAAATTAGTAAACAAATTCCTCCAACAAGAGATTCGCAACTGAATTCGAACCTGTCCGGATGCTTTCGTGAGGGGAGTGTACTTTCCAACCAAAAAACATTAACTTATGCTACCGGGTCAGAAAGTTTTTTGAGAAACAAAGATCCCAAGGAGAACTTCTCCAGGGACTGTGTCATATCAAGACGGTAAGTAAGGATCTTTTTACTCAAAAATATATTTAACATTTCATTTTAAACATTCAAACTGCTGCAAATGAGCAATGCATGATGTTCGCGGTATCCTTGGAAACATTGCGATAGTTTCTACGTCAAATTAATCAAACCTTAAAAAGCGAAAAAACCGTTACAAATTTTGTTGTGAATTTCTCAACTGATTTGCTACACGCAAAATTCACTTGCGGAAAACCTGCATCTTATGCTGATAATATTGCTTTAATCTTAATCGAAAAATTGTTCAATTGATTCAAAAAGTTGAAGAATTTTTCAATGTTCAAAATGGAAAACACGGAAAAGACCGTTGCTGGTTTATCGAACGCGGAGTTCGAAGGAAGGGTGAGTTGCTGCGAAGTTTCAATTCCTAAATTCAGGGAATTATATTATCAAGACTTGAAAAAATTCTTGGTTATCACTAATAAAGGGGCCAAGTTTCTTAGTTAATGCAGACTTTTACACCTCAATAATACATCTTTTGGTTAATTTTGTGTATAATTTTCACAAGCCTAACTGAAATCTCTCATGTCTTCAAAGTTCAAAAACTACATCTGCAATCCTAAAAAACGTTAAAATAAAAGATAATTTTGATCTCTCGAAAGATGATTACTTTTTCATCTCTCTATTTCGCCACAGTTGTATAAAATCAAGTAGGTTCCACATTTCTACATGTTTTTAAAGCTATAAAGGAGTTGAAAGTGAGAATCAAACGGTCGAAGGCAACAAATGCTATTTGCCAAAAGCCTTCAATATAAAGGGCTACAACAGTAGCTTGCAGAGGTTTCAAGTAAACACTTGACTGAAACACAAAAATCAAAAACGATTATGAAAATAGATTATGTCCTAAGGCGTCAAAAAATTATTCAAGTACCTGGGAAGGTCTCTCATAAGGAATAAAGATTTCTCAAAAAACTGAATTACTCACAAAATGGGCTTATTTTCAAAAGAAAAAGAATGAAGAGAGATTAATATTTTTTTCCAAGTGCATTTTCTCAGCAATTGAGAATTTTTTAACTTTTTTCTATGCCTAATACAATGTGCCAGAAAAATTAAGACTCTTCTCCGGGGGGAAAAGGAGTGATCCCGATAACATGTCACATATAATTCATTCCTACAGAATACAGAGTCATCTAGTTGTGAAAAGAAAAATTTACTTTTTCACGGAAAATTTTAACTAGTTCCTCGACCAAAACAAAATGAAACAAAACTTTTGATCGGTTCCAAAGTGAAAACGATATATCGGATTTAAGCTGCCATTTTGTCGTCAAGCATTGTCTCCTTGACAACACGTATCCAACGGTTAGCCTCGCAATGAGCTCAAGTTGAATCTTTTTGCGTCAGTTGTAAATAACATTAGAAACTGCACATTACTACAGTGGAAAAGATATCGTCAAAATTATTGACACAAGCAAATAATTTGTGACATCAACCTCAATTATTAAGATTTCTCTCTTTTCTTGTTTATTGTTTCCAGATTTTCAAAATATGTTGAAAAGTATTGCCTTATTGCTAGACGGTGGGATCCAAGAATATTAATAGCATCTTTGAGATTTGTTATTTTTAAGATTATTCTGAGCTGTATCTTTTTCAGACTTTCCAAGATGCTGAGCTTCAAAGAGCAAACTTGCTCACAACATTTGAACGTCTGGCAAATAACACCGGTATGAAATGTTTTGATCAATCTTCTTATTTCTTGGTTGTATTCTTCCTAATCATCTGAAGAAAATAGTTTACTTTATCCATAAGTTCACTATAAAACATTAAAATAGATTATCACTATATCTATATCACAATGTCACTATCCTCATACATCACTATAACTATCAAACTATCACTAAATATTGCTGTATATAAATTTGTCTTTATTTTAAGCTCCAAATTTAAATGAAGGTTATTCTGAAAAAGCATATTGAGAAACGTTTAACAAGTTATTTTTATCGAGCATCTACTCAAAAAGCCTTAAACTTCAGAGCTATCAAATAAATACATAAATTATTATTGTATTTTTTTAAATATGATGTATAAATATATAAATATATCCAAATTCCACACCAGACCAGTATCCACCTACAACGGCTATGTTTTATAATAACTGCATCTTCGTAGATATTCTGTTGAAAATTGCCAAAGGTTTAACAGACAATGGCGATAAAAATGCAGAAATCATTTCAAAATTATCAGACTCTTCGTACAGACGGTCGGCTTTCAAAGACGTAAGTTGTGGCCTTGGAATCCTATTTCAAATGATTTGTTCAACTGCAAATAATATCCTTCGAATGCTTTGAAATGAAATAAATGCTTTGAAACAGACTGGTTATAATTGGTTAAAATAAATGTGAGAAGAAGGTCTCACCTGAAGGAAAATTATACCTTCCAAAGCTATCATACTACCATAAAAAGCTGTTCCTTCTAATTGCACGATGGTTGAGAGCAAATAATATTGTTAATGTGCAGTTTGATATTCGCAAGGAAATGTTAGTAAGCTTTAGGAGTTCAACAAAGAAAGCGAAAGACTTGCTGTATTACTGCAATCAATTATGTTCTTAGTTGCTCAATGTTTATTTTCAGTTGAAAACCCACGCCAGTGGCTGCATTAATGACTTAGTGAATGCCAATGCCTTGGTAAGAGACCAAATTCGTTTCTATAAATACTTACAAACTTTTATGCAAAAAAATTCCTTGATAGGGATCCCGGCTTAGGGTCAATTGATCTATGACCAGGTATACAAAGTGCAGGATGCTGAATTATAGGGAGATATCATAAGTAGTTCTTTTGATTTTCTAAAGAAATAGGAAAACTTTTTGGCTATTGTCAACAGATTTTCAGGTTTTTTGAGCACTCAGCTATTTCTATCAGTTGCGTGCCCTGATTTTCGAGAAGGAAGAGTCGCGAAAGAAAGTTCGCAGACAGTCGATTGTATGCAACGACATCATTAACTATCTCAAGGTTTACTGGCGAACTATCGACTAAATATTAGGAAGTCAGACATTCATATTATTGCTCGCCTGATGCCACCTGGATACATCAATTATAGTCATCCAACTCTTCATCAGGTCATCGAAAAGGTTCGAGAATATCAATCGAACCTGAAACAAAGGCCGCCATATGAAGAGTTATGCTCAAAATTTCGTACTAACGATGCATTTCTATTGCATCACGTTACGATGCAAGCTGTTATTCTATTGCATCAATTTTTGTTCTTTACAACACACACAACTCCATTGATTATCAATTTTGTATACTCCGATTTATGTGTAACGTCCCTATCAAGCTACAAAAGTCATATTGAGTCACATCTTCACAAAGTTTAGGTTTCCAACCATTGCTCATGAATCAGTTGGAAAAATTTTAGTTCACGTTTTATCATTCTCTTAGGTTGATGATTATAACGCATCCTCCAAGCTTGAAAACATTGGCAACATTGTGCAGGATATTGTCAAATCGTTGGACCACATTCTTTCCACAATCGAAGATTTAGAAAAGGTTTGTTCACAATAAATTTCATTTCAGCTATAATGTTCAACAAAGAAAAACAAATCTTTAATTGCTTCAATTCACAAATTATGATTTTTTCTTTTAAAACTACCCATTTACTAAAAAGCTCCCCGAAATCTTTATCCGCAGAGTCCAACGATTACTACAGTAATAAGCATCGAAATACGTCTTCTACTCGACTTCTCTACACTGGATGTAGATGAAAGCATCAAATCTTTCAATAAAATCAAAGAAGAACTCATCGAAGACTTTCAAGTCTGCGATCTGAGTGGCAAAGAGGAGTTCGATGTTAAGATGATGTTTGGGGCTGGTGTTTTTAGAATTGGTCCTTGCAAATTCGATCAAATTGTGGCAGTGAACCAAAATGTCGTCCAACAAGATCAAGCTCCGTTGTTAGAAACAGGAATCAAGGGGCAAAAACGAAAAAGACAAGACGAAGGTGCTGTCCATGATTCGTCCTCGAAAGAAAGGGTGGAGCAGTCAAGGAAAAAGGTGAAGAAGGATGCCGTACGAGAATGGGAGACTGAAGAAAGCGCGAGACTCTCCACTGACTGTGGCATAAGCAAAAATGAGTTCGTAAGAGCTTGGCTTAAAAGTCAGTATAATGTGTCGTACGAAATTAAGGCACCAAATATCCTACCAGTCTTTCAGAAAAATGAAAGAACGACTGATCTTTCAGAAAATGGCCAAAACAACAATCAAATATCGCCATTAAATTCTGACAAAAGGTCTCTGCTGACTTCCAAGCTTAGTAATTCCCTCCATACTAATCTAAAAGGATGTAGAGACTACCATTCTCCACCTTTTGTAGCCTCAGAAAAAGTCGCCAGGCAAAGCCTTTCCATAAAAAATGAAGCTAAGCCATCCGAAGATATCATCAGTCAAAAGAATGACTGTAATCAATTAAGCGAATCAATAACCCAAAAGCCAAATTCTGCTCCCATAGCTAGATGTAGCCTAAAAGAGCAAGGTTTGATTGGGGAAACTGCTACAGTTAGTCGACCAGAGTCTCTGAAAATAGTTTTCTATAAAACTGATGGAGGCAACTGGGCAGTTAAAAATAAGTCTTTTGAACACACAGTAATGCAGATGGAAAGTCGTAAAACGGATGGTAAAAAAACAGAGGTAATGATATTGAAAGCTGATTGTGTATCAAAAGATATAGATGCGGAAAAGGAGGCTAGAAAGCGCTTTGAAGTGTTAGAGAGAGTTAAAAGAGCTTTAGCTAGAGACAGATCGAATAGAAAAGAGAAGAAAGGTCCCCTTAGAAAGACGAGATTTGGCCGCATAAGAAAACAAGTTTCAAATCTTCTTGAGATGAAAGCTCGTACGATCAGTAGAAATTTCAGATCTTGAGCACTTCACATTTTCGTTTACGGGCCATATCTCTAAGGGTAGAATAAACAGATAATGTCTCCTGCCACTCGACCCCTCTCCTATCTTTATACTTTACAATAGTAAAAAGTTGGTTTAACCCGGCGAGAATAATATGATAAATGGACAAATAGCTTTAATTGTTGGTAAATTCATCACCTCGGATGACACTTTCCTAACTGAAGTGTATTTTAAGACCATTCGAAGTAGGTAATTAGAAAAGACATTGCAAATTAGTAATTTAATTGCATTTTAAATGCATAATGGCAAATGTATCCTTAAGAAGATATAATATAAATGGAATATGTTTAAAACAACACTGAGACTTCTTTCTGAGTTTTCTGAAATGATTGACATGTGGAATTTGTTTATTCAAATATAAATGATTTTGTTTTTCTGCGAATCCAAGTATACATTTAAGATAGCTTTAAAGCAAAGCAAACAGGCACGAGGTTACAAAGAATACAGTTGTGTTGAATATTTCATAGTAGATGGTAGTTGACAAGGAAAGTAGCCGACATTAAAATGATATGAGATGTGTGAAGGAATTCAGGGCCAGATTAAGGTGGGTGGTAATTGTGCTGCAGTATCAGACCTATTCTTGAAAGAAAACCAGAGGAAAACAGATCAAAATCTTCCTGAAGCTGAATAGGCCCAATGAAGGGCTCTTCGTCCGGGTACATCAGGCCTAATGTGGGCTCAATCTGGCACTGGGTAACAATTAGGCTGCGACAGCAAGGAATTTAATTGTGATGATGCCACTATTATCACATGCTAGATCTGAATTCTATCATCGTGGTTCTGCTAATCATTTTGGCAATTGGAAGGGTTTTCGGAAACAAGATTGCAATCAGCCTTAAATATGAATGGTTATAGTTAAGAGCCCAGTAATGAATTATTCTTGGCAAAATCATTATTGACATAAATAATAGATACTGGCATCACGAAATGTATCTTTAAGTAACTTTATGCTTATCTAGTTCTTCAGCATCGTAAAATTTGGCATTGGAACTTTTAAACCAACCATCTATTTGCTAATTGGAAGATGCATAGCATACTTCTGATTTTGCAAAGATGGTTTTACGTAGATGACTTTTTTACGGGAGAAGAGAGTATTGCAGAAACAGCCATCAAACACTTAGCAATATTCTGACAGTTTATTGCAGTGGCAGCTATTCAAAGAATTGCAAGAATGAGCATTATGTTCTAAGTGCATAACGCTTTTACACCTTGACAAAAAACAAACAACCAAATGTTGTTCTTCACGCAAGCCCAAAAATAATCGTCACAAAATCTAATCGTCGACTAAAAATCGTACCAAATCGTCTTTATATGGCGAAATCAAAAATAAAACAACAAGAAGAAATTGCAATAAAAGATAAAAAAGATTAAGCGAATTGACATTAAATGGAAGAGCCCAACATCCAAAACACCTATTAGATTTCATAAAAAACAACTAAACTGATTTCACGTTTTTTTAACAGAAGAAGAGGAACGTCTATCACTGATCCAAAAGCAGCCTAAAAAATTATGAATTAATAAGCCTTATGAATTATCTAGAACATTTTGCTCGGCAATTTGGCCAAAATTGAGTGTTTATGACACACACCAATTTGAATATTTGATGATATTGTGTGGTAAATATGCAAAATGAATACAATTAATGCTAGTAATTCTTTTGAAAAGATGAATAAATAAACATTAAATCCGTAAAGATAAGACTACACTCCTGTCCTTTTATTAGAACTCAATTCAATATTGTTTTCGAACTAACATTACATATACACTAGGGTCGCAAAAGTATGAAAACAGTTGGTCAAAATGGTGGCTCATAGTGACCACGGGCCTAAGCCGACCAATTTCAAAATCAGAATTATGAGGCGAAGGGGCTTGGAAACGATAATGCATTCGCCATTTCTTCAACTTTTGGTTTTAAGAAAATTTACTAATCGGTTTGCTGTTTTGAGGGGAAAAATTCAGCAAAACTGTGGAGCACTGCTTCAAAACAATTCTGTAAAAGATTATCTGATTATTCATGAAAGATGACCACGAAGTGTCACTTTATTGACGAAACGTGAACGAAAAATGTTTAAATTCGAAGCAAACTGCTTAAAGCTTCATTTTCATGAAAAAAATTTAACTGAGAAAGTGACGTTAGCAGTGCACTTTAAATTCAAAGTTTCAATACTGACACAAAATGAGTTGCTCTACATTTGATGTTAATGACTTGTTCATCTTAAATTCTGATTTACTCATTATCAAAGCACGTGACAAAAAAAATAAATGTAAAACGTTCGTTTATTATGCTTCTGAAATTAATGAAAAGAATCATCTACAGCCAAAGCACATCATATACAGTCATCTACAGAAAACTATTTTGATCACTAAATGCCAGTTTTTTAAATTGTTCACATGATATCACTTTTGATAACCTAAAGGCTGATATCATGGCCAAAATGAACTTCTCGGTACTAATATTTAAAGTCAGAACAAATGTGCACGTATTAAGTTTCAAGCTTAATTAAATTATCTTGTGCATAGTTAGTTTCGTCTGTACTTTGAGGCAATATTTTATGAATCCTTCGAGAATATTTTCGTTACAAAACGGTCGTTACAAAAACCCTTTAGCGCTCAACTTCTGTTTTAGAAACCTGTCAACTTAGGCCCGTGGTCATTGTGAACCGCCATTCCTCTTTCTTCTACTATACAAACCCCTCTTGAAAGTACCAAACAGTTCGAAGATCGATTGCGTTTTCAGACAAAAACAAATTTAGTCTGGCAATGACGACTTAAATTTGTGAGAAACCCTTCCAAAATAGACCAGAACATTAAAATGCTGCAAAACTTATGCGCTTTTTATCCGTTATCATTTTTTGAGAAAATGAGAAACATTTGCGCTACAAGCCTTACGCAAATCAAGAAGAGAACAGCAAGTCAGGCAACTTAGACTCAGTTAAACGGGCCAATAAAACGGACTAATTTTTCTACAAACTTTTTCTTGAGACACAGAGAAAACCAACGTGTATACTCTCAGTTGGGAAAAATCTTTGACGAAGATGCCACCGATCGATTACAAAACATATGACATTTGGTAACATTTTACCAGATCATAAAGTTTCCTGCAATTTAAGGAGAGATTTTAAAAGTTCAATTGGTTGTGAACATTTAATGCAGTTTTGTGTAATGATGCAAACCAGTTTTGATGCAAATTTGGTTAGGGCAAAACGCTCAGACGTTGGTGTCGCGAGAGCTCTTGCTCTTTTTGGCCGTGAAAAATCATTTAGATTCCTTATTTTTCAATTAATTTTGCATATCTCGAAAGCGGCAGTCTTTGGGCATTCAATGATACTGGCAATTTGATGATAGCTTTTTCCCATCATTGTGATAAAGCATTATCTCTAGACATTACTCAGAAGTCAATGCTCTTGTTTGGGTCGCAACCATCTTGAGGAAAAACCCTTTAAGAGTTTGCTTACATTTGGATATAATTATTTTTTTTCGACGAATGAATAGATTAAAGGCCAAAAAAACTTCAAGAAAAAATTCGAGGAGTTTGATAAAAACGTTCTCATCAAAACTGACTTTGAAATGTGTAAACCAATTCCTCCAACAAGAGGTTCGCAACTGAATTCGAAACTGTCCGGATGCTTTCGTGAGGGGAGTGTACTTTCCAACCAAAAAACATTAACTTATGTTACCGGGTCAGAAAGTTTTCTGAGAAACAAAGATCCCAAGGAGAACTTCTCCAGGGACTGTGTCAAATCAAGACGGGAAGTAAGGATCTTTTTATTCAAAAATATGTTTAACATTTCATTTTAAACATTCGAACTGCAGCAAATGAGCAATGCATGATGTTCGCGGTATCCTTGGAAACATTGCGACAGTTTCTACGTCAAATTAATCAAACCTTAAAAAGCGAAAAAAACCGTTACAAATTTTGTTGTGAATTTCTCAACTGATTTGCTAGACGCAAATTTCGCTTGCGGAAAACCTGCATCTTATGCTGATAATATTGCTTTAATCTTAATCGAAAAATTGTTCAATTGATTAAAAAAATTGAAGAATTTTTTCAATGTTCAAAATGGAAAACACGGAAAAGACCGTTGCTGGTTTATCTAACGCGGAGTTCGAAGGAAGGGTGAGTTGCTGCGAAGTTTTAATTACTAAATTCAGGGAATTATATCATCAAGGCTTGAAAATATTCTTGGTTATCACTAATAAAGGGCCAAGTTTCTTAGTTAATCCAGACATTTACACCTCAAGAATACATCTTTTGGTTAATTTTGTGTATAATTTTCACAAGCCTATCTGAAATCTCTCATGCCTTCAAAGTTCAGAAACTACATCTGCAATCCTGGAAAACAATAAAACAAAAGATAATTTTGATCTCTCGAAAGATGATTACTTTCTCATTTCTCTATTTCGTCACAGTTGTATAAAATCAAGTAGGTTCCAGATTTCTACATATTTTTAAAGTTATCAAGGAGCTAAAAGTAGAATTAAACGGTCGAAGGCAACAAAAGGCTATTCGCCAATAGCCTTCAATACAACGGGCTACAATAGTAGTTTGCAGAGGTTTCAAGTAAATATTTAACTAAAACACGAACATCAAAAACAATTTTGAAAATAGATTATGTCCTAAGACGACAAAAAATTATTTAAGTACCTGGAAAAGTCTCTCATAAGGAATAAAGATTTCTCAAAAAACTGAATTACTCTCAAAATGGGCTTATTTTCGAAAGAAAAATGATGAAAAGCTTAATATTTTTGTCCAAGAGCACTTTCTCGGCAATTGAGAATTTTTTAACTATTTCCTTTGCCTAATACAATGTGCCAGAAAAATTTAGACTCTTCTCCGGGGGGAAAAGGAGTGATTTAAATCCCGATAACATGCAACATACACTAGGGTATCAAAAGTATTGCACCACCTCGAAGGAGGAGAAATGGCGCATGAATGATCGAAAGCTATTGTTATGCAAATTAATTCTGTTTTTAGAGGGGCAATGGCAATTGGTCGAAAGCAAAACAACGACCAATCAAAACGTCAACCTATTTAGAGCATTTGTTTGAAAAATAGTAGCAGCCAACATCTTTTAACAGTTTCAAATATCAATATTTTGACTGGCTGCCGCAAACTTTTGAAATCGCAAAAAGCCTCCTTGAAATGGATCCATGAATTTGGGCAACGTGTTCTTGTAGAATTTCGTATTAGGCCTGGAAAAGTCTTAGAATAAATGATTCTCTGGCTTTCGGAGGACCATTTGGATCACGGTTTGTAACATTTTTCATTTGAAGTCAAACTTTTTTAGCGATGTTAAAGATTGGACTTGATTCTGGCTATGCCAAAACTTTAATTTCTTTTATATGGAAATAAATATTTGTAAAAATGGTTTCCATTTACTCAGGTAACCTATTCTTTTGTATTTGTGCAAAACACTCATTATATTTTCTGTGGACGGATTTTGAGCTGCAAAACCTTGCGCAGTGTTGAGTTTTATGCCTTTTACTGCCCCTTGGTGCTGTACGCAGTGAAATAAAACAGACAAATTCTTTCCCCTCTAACATCAAAATTATTTTGGTCGCCAATTTCTCGGTTTCTTTACAACTGTAACACTCTCGAGAAATCTTTTTTGATTTACCGCAGCTGTTGTGTAGCTGCATCTAACTTGGTCAACATTTTTTTAAAAATTAAAGACCATTTCCTTGCAAATGTTTTATAGCGACTCGCCTCTCATTTGACAAATCTGTTTCCTCAGGCTTGGGTTACATTTTTAGAGATAAAAATGTTTTTGCGTAATTTATACATTTCTAACTAAATTTTCTATGGCGTCAGCAAGATTTGCAAACTTTTCCCGCCAAAGTTTGCTCTCAAATGCGCTTACTTCACCCAGTTCTTGCATTCAGATGTTTTGTACTGCCAAAAAGTTTACAAAAAGTGCCGCCATTTTGAGCAGGGTGGTGCAATACTTTTGATACCCTAGTGTATATTTCATTCCTAAAGAATACTGAGTCATCTAGTTGTGAAAAGAGCAATTTACTTTTCCCCCGTAAAATTTTAACTGGTTCCTCGACGAAAACAAAAAGAAAAAAAAATTTAGATCTGTTTCTAAGTGAAAACGATATATCGGATTTAGGCTGCCATTTTGTCGTCAAGCATTGTCTCCTTGACAACACGTATCCAACGGTTAGCCTCGCAATGAGCTCAATTTGAAAGAGATTTCTTTCTTTTCTTGCTTATTGTTTCCAGATTTTCAAAATATATCGAAATTTTATTGCCTTATTGCTAGGCGGTGGGATCCAAGAATATTAATAGCATCTTTGAGATTTGTTATTTTTAAGACTATTCTTAGCTGTTTCTTTTTCAGACTTCCCAAGATTACGAGCTTCAAAGAGCAAACTTGCTCACAACATTTGAACGTCTGGCAAATAACACCGGTATGAAATGTTTTGATAAATCTTCTTATTTCTTTGTTGTGTTCTTCCTGATCATCTGAAGAATCTAGTTTACATTATTCATAAGTTCACTATAAAATATTGAAATATATTATCACTTTATCCATATCACAATGTCACAATCCTTATACATCACTATAACAATCAAACTATCACTAAATATTGCTGTATATAATTTGGTCTTTATTTTAAGCTGCAAATTTGAATGAAGGTTATTTTGAAAAAGCATATTGAGAAACGTTTAACAAGTTATTTTTATTGAGCATTTACTTAAAAAGCATTAAACTTAAGAGCTATCAAATATACATACATTATTGTTGTAATTTTTCAAACATGATTTATAAATATATAAATACATCCCAACTACACACCAGACCAGGATCCACCTACAACGGCTATGTTTTATAAAAATGCATCTTCGTAGGTATTCTGCTGAAAATTGCCAAAGGATTAACAGAAAATGGCGATAAAAATACAGAAATCATTTCAAAATTGTCAGACTCTTCGTACAGACGGTCGGCTTTCAAAGACGTGAGTAATGGCCTTGGCATCCTATTTTAAATGATTTATTCTACTGCAAAAAAATCTTTCGAATTATTCACAAAAGTCTGCCAAACTTAATTTTTATGGATCCTAAAACAATATTTTGAGGGGTCTCCCCGAAGCGAAACATATATTTTCCAAAATTATCATACACAATAAAGCTGTTCGTACTAACTACACCATGATTGAGAGCAAATAATACTGTTAATGGGTAGTTTGATTTTCGCAAGGAAATGTTAGCAAGTCTTAGTAATTATAGAAAGACTTCCTGCATTAGTACTGTAACCAATTATGTTCTCAGTTGCTCAATGTTTATTTTCAGTTGAAAACTTATGCCAGTGGCTGCATTACTGACCTCGTGAATGCCAATGCCTTGGTAAGAAACAAATTCGTTTCTATAAATGCTTTTTTGCAAAAACATTCCTCGATAGGGATCCCGGCTTTGAATCAATTGATATATGGCCAGGTATAGAAAATGCTGAATTATAGGGAGATATCATAAGTAGTTTTGTTGATTTACTAAAGAAATAGGAAAACTTTTTGGTTATTGTCAACAGATCTCAAGGTTTTCTGGGCACTTGTCTATTTCTATCAAGTGCGTGCCTTGATTTTCGAGAAGGAAGAGTCGCGAAAGAAAGTTCGCAGACAGTCGATTGTATGCAAAGACATTATTAACTATCTCAAGGTTTACTGGCGAACTATCGACAAACTATTAGGAAGTCAGACATTCATATCGCTCGCCTGATGCCACCTGGATACATCAATTATAGTCATCCAACTCTTCATCAGGTCATCGAAAAGGTTCGAGAATATCAATCGAACCTGAAACTAAGGCAGTCATATGAAGAGTTAAGCTCAAAACGTCGTACTAACAATTCATTTCTTGTACAAAGCCGTTATTTTACTACATATTAACTTTTGTTCATTACAACACACACAATTCATTGATTATCAATTCTGTATACTCCGATTTATGTGTAACGTCCCTATCAAGCTACAAAAGTCATATTGAGACGCATCTTCACAAAGTTTAGGTTTCCAACCAATGCTCATGACTCAGTTGGAAAAATTTTAGTTTATGTTTTATCATTCTCTTAGGTTGATGATTATAACGCATGCTCCAAGCTTGAAAACATTGGCAACATTGTGCAGGATATTGTCAAATCGTTGGATCACATTCTTTCCACAATCGAAGATTTAGAAAAGGTTTCTTCACAATAAATTTCATTTCAGCTATAATGTTCAACAAAGACAAACAACTGTTTACTTGCTTTAATTCACAAATTATGATGCTTTACTTTCAAAACTATCCCATTTACTAAAATGTTCCCGGAAATCTTTATCCGCAGAGTCCAACGATTACTACAGTCATAAGCATCGAAATACGTCTTCTACTCGACTTCTCTACACTGGATGTAGATGAAAGCATCAAATCTTTCAATAAAATCAAAGAAGAACTCATCGAAGACTTTCAAGTCTGCGATCTGAGTGGCAAAGAGGAGTTCGATGTAAAGATGATGTTTGGTGCTGGTGTTTTTAGAATTGGTCCTTGCAAATTCGATCAAATTGTGGCAGTGAACCAAAATGTCGCCCAACAAGATCAAGCTCCGTTTTTAGAAACAGGAATCAAGGGGCAAAAACGAAAAAGACAAGACGAGGGTGCTGTCCATGATTCGTCCTCGAAAGAAAGGGTGGAGCAGTCAAAGAAAAAGGTGAAGAAGGATGCCGTACGAGAATGGGAGACTGAAGAAAGCACGAGACTCTCCACTGACTCTAGCATAAGCAAAAATGACTTCGTAAGAGCTTGGCTTAAAAGTCAGTATAATGTGTCGTACAAAATTAAGGCACCAAATATCCTACCAGTCTTTCAGAAAAATGAAAGAACGACTGATCTTTCAGAAAATGGCCAAAACAACAATCAAATATCGCCATTAAATTCTGACAAAACGTCTCTGCTGACTTCCAAGCTTAGTAATTCCCTCCATACTAATCCAAAAGGATGTATAGACTACCATTCTCCACCTTTTGTAGCCTCAGAAAAAGTCGCGAGGCAAAGCCTTTCCATAAAAAATGAAGCTAAGCCATCCGAAGATATCGTCAGTCAAAAGAATGACTGTTACCAATTAAGCGAATCAATAACCCAAAAGCCAAATTCTGCTCCCATAGCTAGATGTAGCCTAAAAGAGCAAGGTTTGATTGGGGAAACTGCTACAGTTAGTCGACCAGAGTCTCTAAAAATAGTTTTCTATAAAACTGATAGAGGCAACTGGGCAGTAAAAAATAAGTCTTTTGAACGCACAGTAATGCAAATGGAAAGTCGTAAAACGGATGGTAAAAAAACAGAGGCAATGACATTGA